CCTCAGCCTCCTGAGTAGCTGGGATTACAGGCACGCACCACCATGCCCAGCTAATTTTTTGTATTTTTAGTAGAGACGGGGTTTCACCGTGTTGACCAGGATGGTCTTGATCTCTTGACCTCGTGATCCACCCGCCTTGGCCTCTCAAAGTGCTGGGATTACAGGCTTGGGCCACTGCGCCCGGCCTAATATTTGTATTTTTAGTAGAGACAGGGTTTCACTGTGTTGGCCAGGCTAGTCTTGAACTCCTGACCTCAGGTCATTTGCCCTCCTTGGCTTCCCATAGTGCTGGGATTATAGGCGCCAGCCACCACGACCACACCTGGCTAAGATGGTTATTTTCTGTTTTTAGTCAGGTGATCTTATAATTACAAAATGTTTAATTGATGATTTGTCAACTTGTAGTTTTGGCCACTAAAAGTATAAGAGTTAGGATGTACCTTTATATTACATTCATACATAACCTCAGCTAGTGAAGAAGAACTGCTATACTTGCAGAAGATAAGAAACTTTTAACATCCCCTTTATGGTGTTTTAAATCCTTAGTGCATGCAGGTATATATGTAGACTCATGCTATCTCTAAATCTTAAATCTAATATATTGCTGTAGTACTTTAACCCTCATATGTTTTGGGGTTTCTTCTTAAGTGAAATCCTTAAATATCAATTGGTAGCCCAGTAGTGGCTTTATTTTCTGGGCCTTGCACTTTGAAGCAACATTTTATAAAAAACAGTTCTCTTGTGTTTCATCTATTGGCCATAGCACCCAGTTTCATGTATTTGAATTGACAAGACAGCTCCCTCGATTCTCCATGTATGCACTGACCAGCCTGGACTCTGCCAGTGAGCCAGTCAGTTATGTTAACTTTACCATTGCAGAACGGGCACAGAGGGTGAGTATCTCACTTTTCTCTTTCAATGCTTTTGCACGGTTGAATCCTTTAGATGTTATTTCATAGAAAGGGGAAATGACATGAATGTGTTATATTGGTAGCAGTAAATACGATATGAAAGAATTCTCTAACTTGGGGGTGACTTACAACCTGTAATAAACATATTCCTAAAATGTCTTCTGTCACTTTGAAAAAGCATCTGAGCAATCCTTGGTTATCAGTGAATTATTACCAGTGTTTAATTCTTCTCTTCCCGTTATGGTTTCAAAAGAGTATTTCAAGAGGAACCTGCAGCAAGATGAAAAGGAGTGGGACTTGGAGCTAAGAACGTTTTTGGCTTTAAATTTAACTCATTAAATTCTTAGTGATCTTGGGGAATTCCCCTCACCATTGTGAACCTCAGTTTTCTTATCTGTAGGTGAGGATAATCTTACCCACTTTATTGCCCCCCCCCCACCTCCCAGGATTACATGATTGGCATGATAATAGCACCTTGTAAATTTGAAAGTACTAATACTAGTGGACTTTAATCTTGGCTGAGCTTTGGAATTCTTGGTGAGACTTTTTAATCATGTAGATTCTCAGGCCCCTGCCTGGCCTGTGGAACCACAAACTCTATAGGTGGGCCCTTCCAGAAGGCCTCATGGGCGGTTCTCATGTGGAACCCGTGTTGCAAGCCACTGCATGGTGTTACTGCTATTAACATTAAAACTTATATTTTCCTTATTGCATGGATGTATCTGTGGTATGTGCACATTGTATACTTCATTTTACATTTCTGAAAGAATACAATGGAATAGTTTTAAGCACACTATATTATCCAAGTTATACCCACAGAAGAGCTGTTGTGTAACAGAATCAGCAACATACCTGAATCATTTGTACATTGCATATAAGACTATGTCTAAGTAGAGGATGATATAAAATCACATCTGCTGTAGGGCCAGGCATAATTATGAATGTTACTTAAGAGCAGGAGTGAGGTGAGAAAAGGGATTGTGACTAGTGTTTTAGTGTTTTCTTGGTATGGGATGAAGTATAATTCTTTTTTTTTTTTCTCAACAAAGCAGTAAAACTAGAAAGAAGGAGAACTCTTCTTTGAAGAATGACTGTACCTTCATATCTAGAGGCATATTAAAAAAAAAAATGTCTGTACCTTAAAAATGGAGGCTCATTTCATTGTGTTCATTTTTAAGGTTGTTGTATGGCTCAGTCAGAACTTTCTGTTACCAGAAGACACTCACTTTCAGAATGCTCCATTTCAAGTGTGTTTCACTTCTTTACGGAATGGTGGCCATCTGTATATAAAAATAAAACTTAATGGAGAGGTAATGTTTAATATCATGGGGCATAGATTTTTTTCTTTTTAAATGTATTTTCATTTATTTTTTCAACCACTTAGATCATGGAATGGGAGGGGAGATTTCTTATGTGATGTTTACCATTCAGTCCAAAGTGAGGTGGGGGACATCAGTGTCAAGGTCGTAAAACCACTTGTTTTATTTTATTCACATAAAATAACTTAGTCTGTTGCTGTCACCATCGTAGACACTGGAGTAGAATCTGGAATAGATGTTTTCTGCCTCCTTCCCTTCCTCTCTTCCTTGTCTATTTGGGAAAGGATTGGGAACACAGAGGTCAACAAAAACATTTTCATCGTTTGTCATTTAATTTCTAAGGCTAGAGGATTTGCCTTTTAGCTAGCTGCTGGAAATAATGCGGTGTGTAATTTCTTTGAGAGCTAAACTTACCTTATTCAACACTGCATATAAATATATGCTCAGTAATTTTGTTGAGTGTAGGGAAATTCAGGTACTATTTCAGCTAAGTTTGTCTAATATCTGAGGATGCTAAACTTGTCTTATTTTTTCTCTGGGTAGATCACTATAAATACTGATGATATTGATTTGGCTGGTGATATCATCCAGTCAATGGCATCATTTTTTGCTATTGAAGACCTTCAAGTAGAAGCGGATTTTCCTGTCTACTTTGAGGAATTAAGAAAGGTGCTAGTGAAGGTGAGGGCACGTGGTAGGTGCATTTGTGAGAATGTGGTAGTCTAATAATGTTTGAGGAGATTAATGAGACTGCTGATGAACTTATGTTATAGTGCTGTGTTCAAGAATTTTTGCAATTCTTGAAATAAAAATTGAACTAGTGTTGGAAAGTTTACTACTTAGAGGATTTCTTTTATAAAAGGAAGTGTTTAGCTCTTGAGAACCGTGCTTCTTTGTTCGGTTTAAGGTGATACATTTATAAATGAATATTTTCCTTTGTTAGCTCTTCATCTTATTTGTAGTATCTGCTTTGGTCTTCAGTATAGGTCTTTCCAAAAACCCAAATTCAAAATAAAAGAGCAAAATAAAGAGGATTGTGATTGGCTCCAAAGTATACAATATTCCCACTGCAAATCCCTAAAATATTACTATATATGTTGTGGGGGCTCCTGGTGTTAAAGCATGTGGAGGATTCACATGGAGTGTCTTGTTGAAATTGGAGGCAGCACAGATGAATTAACTTGTTGAGAAAGAGATGAAATAACAGGAGGTAGCTTAATTGGCATAAGTGAACAGGGGAAAGAAGGGGGTCTCTGTATCTGGTAAATAGTGTCTTTTCATCTGTCTGGTTTCAAGAAGTTTGTGAGGCCTTTTTAATTCCTGAGTGTCCATGGTCTCCAGGTGGATGAACATCATTCAGTGCATCAGAAGCTCAGTGCTGACATGGCTGACCATTCTAATCTGATCCGAAGTTTGCTGGTCAGAGCTGAGGATGCTCGTCTGATGAGGGACATGTGAGTATTTACCATGGTTAGTACAGGTGCAAGGTTAAAAATACGAGCAGTTTGGAATAGCAACTCTCAGATGTTACCAGTTGAAGTGTAATTTGTTATAGTGACTTTGGAAAATAAGTTGGCATTATAAGTAAAGTTGAAAATGCGTGTCCTGTATGACCCAGCAATTCTATTCCTGGTTTGTAGCTTGGAGAAAGTTATAGCTTAGTTATATGTATGCAAATAAACTAGGATATTTGTAAAAGAATGTTTGTAAAGGCATTGTTTATAAAAATCTCAAAGTCGAAACAATCCATATTAGCATTAACAGTGTAGTGATAGTGGATGAATTGTGATATATTCATACAGTGGAATACTACACAGCAGTGAGAGTGCATGAATCTCCGTGACACATAAGAGCAAGAAGAAATCTGATAAGCATAATGGACACTGAAAGAAGACAGACTTAAAAGACTATGTATAAAATGCATCCATGTGTATAGTTAGAGAAAAGAGTAAACTATATAGTTTGGGAAACATGCAATAAGTACAAATATAAATAAATTCAGGGAAGAGATTATCATATAAGATAGTATTTTCTCCTAGAGAACAAGGGACTATGTGCAGGAAAAATACATTGGGAAACTTGTGTCTTGATGTTTTGTTTGACTTCATTAAGTATTCTTTGAATTTTTCTGAATATGTAGCATTTTACAACAAAAAAGTTAAGTATGTGCAGGTCTTCCTTGGTGCTTGCTAGGATGCCAAATTTACCTTGCCAATAAAATGTACTGAAAAAATTCAGTAAAATAGTTAACAAGTGATAGATGAAATTTATGTGTATATATTAGGGGCAAGAGTTTACCCAGAGTGCTGCTTGTGTTTTTTCGTGAGAGGGCTGAATTGTTGGCAAATAATGATAATGGTTTTGCTCAGAAGTAAATGGTTTTTAAAATAATTGTATTGTTGAAAATTTCAAACACATACAAAAGTAGTTGAATATAATGATTTCGTATATACCAGCCACCCAACTGGGATGTTCAAGAAACATGGCACTGGTGTCTGCTTGACTTCTGTTGAGGGCCATGCATGACATCAAAACATGGCAGAAAAGGTCAAAGGAGAAGGGGACATGTGCAGAGAGACAAAGCCTGAGGGGTAGCGTCGCTGTGTAACAACCTGCTCTTTTGAGAACTAGTTCATTCCTGCATGAGCAAGAACCCACTCCTGAGAGATGGCATTAATCTATTAATGAGGGATCTGCCCCCATGACCCAAACACCCTCTACTAGGCCTACCTCCCAAACCTGCTGCACTGGCATTTAAACTTCAACATCAGTTTTGGCGGGGACGAACCACATCCAAACCATAGTGGGTATATTAATCTCTTATGTGTGATATGAGTTGCAAATATGTTTTTCAGAATTTGTCATCTGGATTTTCCCTTTGCTTAGATTTTAAAAAATTTTTGCTTTAATGTTGGTTTTGCCTTGTAAAAGCTTTTAAAAATTTGTGTGTAGTAAAATTGATCACTCATTTTCTTAATACTTTTTAATTTATTTATATATATTTTGAGACAGAGTCTTGCTCTGTTGCCCAACCTGGAGTGCAATGGCATGATCTTAGCTCACTGCAACCTCCACCTCCCAGGTTCAAGCAATTCTCCTGCCTTAGTCTCCTGAGTAGCTGGGACTACAGGTGCATGCCACCATGTCTGGTTAATTTTTATATTCTTAGTAGAGATGGGGTTTCACCTTGTTGACCAGGCTGGTCTCAAATTACTGACATCAGGTCGTCTGCGCGCCTCAGCTTACCAAAGTGGTGGGATTACAGATGTGAGCCACTGCGCCCAGCCACATTTTCTTAATATTTTTACATTTTGAGTTACAGTTAGAAAAGTTTTCTTTACCCTCAGGGTATAGAGTAAATTTACCTGTTTTCCTTTAGTACTTGTACATTTTCCTTTTTTACATTAAGTCTCTGTTCCAGTTGGAGTTTATCCTGGTGTTCATATAAGTAATAAACACAGTTTTATCATTTTCCATATGACTATCACATTATTATTTGTGTGTGTGTGTGTGTGTGTGTGTGTGTGTGTGTGTGTGTGTGAGAGAGAGAGAGAGAGAGAGAGAGAGAGTCTCACTGTATCACCCAGGCTGGAGTGCAGAGGCAAGATCACAGCTCACAGCAGCCTCGATCTCCTGGCTCAGGTGATCCTCCCACTTGTGTCCCTGGAGTAGCTGGGACAACAGGCATGTGCCACCATACCCAGCTAATTTTTGTGTTTTTTTGTAGAGCCAGAGTCTCACTATGTTGCCCAGACAGATCTTGAACTCCTGGGCTCAAGTGATCTGGCCGCCTTGGCCTCTCAAAGTGCTGGGATTACAGGCGTGAGCCACTACACCTGGCCACGTTGCATTATTTTAATACTACTACTTTTAAAGTTCATTATGCTCACAATGATTTCAAATACTGCCTTTATTATATATCATATTTCTGTACATAGTTGAAACTATTTCTGGATTTTCTGTACTATTCCATTGATTTGTCTTGTCTCTTCATTTGACAATAGCATTTTTTTAGAAAAAATAAAATTATTTTGAGACAGAATCTTGCTCTGTTGCCCAGCCAGGCTGGAGTGCAGTGGTGTCATCACAGCCCACTGCAGCCTCGGCCGCCCAGGTACAAGGGATCCTCCCACCTTAGCCTCCTGAGTAGCTGGGACTACAGGCATGCACCACCACACCCAGCTAATTTTTTTTTAATTTTTGGTAGAGACAGGGTCCCACTATATTGCCCAGGCTGGTCTTGAACTCCTGGGCTCAAGCTATCCTCCTGCCTCAGCCATTCTATTTTATTTAAAAATTTTTTGGCTGAGTGCAGTAGCTTGTGCCTATAATCCCAGTGCTTTGGGAGGTCGAGGGAGGAGAATGGCCTGAGGCCGGGAGCTCAAGACCAGCCTGGACAACATAGCAAGACCCCATCTCTAAAAAAGAAAATAGAAATTTCATTGTGATATGTGATATTGTAAAATATATATTTGATCTTCAACCCTGTGTCCTGACATAATAACTTCTAAAATCCTTAGAATCTCCAAAGTGATGTCTTTTTGTATGCTAATGATGGACTTACAGTTAGCAGCTCCTAGGTAGCTTCAGGATAGGGGTCAGTCACTGGAACAACCAAGGCAGGATTAGAGGATTGGCACTTTCTGCCCACCTCTCTCCCAACCTCTAGGGTGCGGAGAGGGACGGAGAATTAAGTTGATCACTTATGGCCAATGGTTTGATCAGTCATGCCTAAATAATGGAGATTCCATAAAAACCCAAAGGGACAGCATTCAGAGAGTTTCTGGACACCAGAACAGATGGCGGTTCCTGAAGGTTGATGCACCTAGGGAAGGCATAGAAGCTCCGAGTGCCTTCCCTAATACTTCGCTCTTTGGATCTCTTCATCTGTATCCTTTGTAATATCCTTTATAATAAACTAGTAAGTGCCATTAAGTTTCCCTGAGTTCTGTGAACTGATCTAGCAAATTAATCAAACCCAGAGAGGGGATCGTGGGAACCCCAACTTGAAGTAGGTCAGTCTGAAGTTCTGGCGGCCTGAACTTGTGACGTTTGTCTGAAGTCGGGGCAGTCTTGTGGGATTGAACCCTCAATCTGTGGGATCTGACACTGTCTCCAAGTGAATAATGTCAGAACAGAATTGGAGGACACCCAGCTGGTGTCTGCTACATAATTAATTGTTTTCTTGGTGTGTGGGAAAAACCTCCACAGTTGGTCACAGAAGTCTTCTGTGTTGATTGTTGTGGTGTGGGAGCAGAGAAGGAACAGTTTGGTTTTTTCCCTACTCATGGTAAAATACGCATAATGTGAAATTTACCATCTTAACTGCTATACACTACTTTTAGTGTACAGTTCAGTGGTATTAAATACATTTATAATGTGTACAATGCTGGGCATGGTGGCTCACACCTGTAATCCCAGCTCTTTGAGAGGCCGAGGCGGGAGGTCAGGAGTTCAAGACCAGCCTGGCCAACATGGTGAAACCCTGTCTCTACTAAAAATGCAAAAATTACCTGGATGTGGTGGTACACTCCTGTAATCCCAGCTACTCAGGAGGCTGAGGCAGGAGAATCGCTTGAACCCGGGGAGCGGAGATTTCAGTGAGCCGAGATCACACCACTGCACGCTAGCCTGGGTGACGGAGTGAGACTCTGTCTCAAAAAAAAAAAAAAAAAAAAAAAAGCATGTTACCACCACCAGCATCTCCATAATTCTTTATCTCTTAAACCTGAAACTCTGTACCCATTAAACAGTAACTACCCATTCTTCCTTACCTTTAGCCCTGGCAATTACCGTTGATAGTGCCATTCTTTCATTTATGGATGTTTTCTATGTTTCGATATCTGGTGTGGGTAGGTGCCCCTGTCCCCAACCCCTGTTGCTTTTCTTTTTCATGGTTTTTCCTAGCTACTTGTGCTTGTTTATTCTTTCCAATGAATTTCATCATGAATTGTTATAGCTCTGTAACAAAAATTGATATTATAATTGAGATTATGTGAAATGTATTAGGCAGAACTGTCCCCACTGCAGTGATGTTCACTCTTGCTGTCTAAGAACATGGCATGTCTTTATATTTGTTCATGTTTTGTGTGTTTCTGGAGTGCGTTAATGGGTTCCTCTTGTAGATACTGGATGTTTCTTAAGTTTATGCTTTGGTATTTTCTGTATTTTTAGACAATTACAAGATATTTATAAGTGTAAATATCTTTTACATTATATCTTATTCTATAATTATGGTTTTGTGTTTATATATATGATAGGTGATTTTATCTGTTGATTTGATAACATACCCTTTACTAATTAGCTTATAGTTTTTCTAGATGTACTCTTGTATTCATCTGTAAATTGAGGTAGATATTTGCTCTTTTTGGCCAACTATCTCTAGGGCCCCTAGTTTTTCCGTCTCTCTCTTAAGTCAAAAAGGGTTGCTCGCTTTAGGCATTTGACTGCAAAATGTCAATATTTATTTTTATTTTTTAAATCAAATTAATTGATATATAACTCATACATGCAGAAAATTTACCCTTTTTAGGTTTACAGTTTGATCAATTTTGAGAAACTTATGTAATCATGTTGCTGCAACCACAATTGAGATATGGAATATTTCTATCACTGGCCGGGCTCATGCTTGTAATCCCAGCACTTTGGGAGGCCAAGGTGGGCAGATCACTTGAACCCACAAGTTTGAAACCAACCTGGCCAACATGGTGAAACCCCGTCTCTACTAAAAAATACAAAAAATTACCCAGGTGTGGTGGCAGGTGCCTGTAATCCCAGCTATTCAGCAGGCTGAGTCAGGAGAATCATCTGAACCCAGGAGGTGGAGGTTGCAGTGAGCCAAGATTGTACCAGTGCACTCCAGCCTGGGCAACAAGAATGAAACTTTGTCTCCAAAAAAAAGAGTATTTCTGTCACTCTTGTGGCTGTTTGTATCAGTACCTCTCCTAACCTCCAGTTCCTGGCAACCACTCATCTTGTTTCTTTTCCTATAGTTTTACCTTTTTCAAAATACCGTATAAATAGAATCATACTATATCTACGTATCCTTTTGAGTCTGGCTTCATTCACTTACATAATGTCTTTGAGATTCATCCATTTTGTTGCATGTATCTGTAGTATGTTTTTTTTATTGCTGAGTAGTACTCCATTGTATGGAGATACACGATATTTATCTATTCACCAGTTGAGAATAATTGGGTTGTTTCCAGACTTTGGTGAGTAGAATAAAACTGCTATAAATACTTGCATACAAGTTTTTTGCAGATATATGTTTTCATTTCTCTTGGGTTTTACCTTACAGTGGGATTGCTGGGTTATTCAGGGTGTGTTAACTTTGTATGAAACTGCCAAATCACTTGTCAAAGTAGACGCATGCAGCATTTTGCATTTCTGTCCACAATGCATGAGAATTCTAGTTGCCCCAAGTCTTTGCTAGCATTTGGTATCTTCAGCTCTATTTTTTTTTAGTCATTTTCATTGCTGTTTAGTATAGATCTCATTTTCATTTTAATTTTATGACTCCGTTTTTTAAACTTTGATAAAATACAAGGCTGGGTTGTCTAAAAATACTTTAAGACCAGGCCACTTTAGTTTAATGAATATTGATCTGAAACTTGGAAGGTGGGCTGTCACCTTGCTCACTTGTCCCTACTCCCAGCACAGTGGGCTTGACCATTCTTTTTTTTTTTTTTTTTTTCTTTTTTTTAATGGAGACAGGGTTTCACCATGTTGGCTGGGCTGGTCTCGAACTCCTGACCGCAGGTGATCCGCCTGCCTCAGCCTCCCAAAGTGCTGGGATTACAGGCGTGAGCCACCGTGCCTGGCTGGGCTTGAGCATTCTTAACCACCTAAATCAAAACCAACTATTGACCAGTAACCAAGGAAGGCCACTTGTCTTTTGTTTATTTGGAAGGAATCGAATATTTTTATGGAACTTATCTATGTTTTCAAAGAAAACTAGCAGTTACTCCATTTTAATGAAAATATAGCTTAAGGGCCGGGTGCGGTGGCTCAAGCCTGTAATCCCAGCACTTTGGGAGGCCGAGGCGGGC